CGAGCCAACTCTACTTGCTTTTCTCTCAAAATTGGGTCCAAACCTACGGTAGGCTCGTCTAGAATTAGAAGTTCAGGCTTATGCATCGATGCGGCGACAAAGGAAACCCTTCTTCGTTGACCTCCACTCATGTTCTTCACCAACTGATTTGCTGGAGGCAGTTGGAACAATTCCGAGAAAAACCTATGTCTCGTTTCTTGGAAATAACATGGATAAACTGTGGTTGTTTAAAATTGACATAGTAGAATATCTTTCGAGCAAGACAAAATTAGAACCGTTTGAAAGACTTACAATTAGTTGAAAGTAAAAGTAAAACTTGTCAGAATTTACATGATATTTCGCGCGCAACAACTACAAGTTTTCTTATCCCATGCATTCGGTATCTTACCGATCTCTTTATCGTCAAGCCCATTGATCCTGCCGAAGTAATAAAGAGCATCGCTAGTAGAAAATTGTTCGACTAAAGATGTATCCTGCGGCATATAACCCACCCGAGGCCCTGGAATCCCTCAGCCCATACTGCCCGGAGATCCCCCTAAGACCCACACCTCTCCACTGTCCAGATAACATACTCCGACGATACAGAACAACAGGGTTGTCTTGCCACATCCGCTGGCCCCCAACAGCGCGTATCTGTTTGAAGGAAATATTTCGGTTACAAGATTCTGCTTTTGAACCTACCTTAGGCCCACGAGAGACATTAGTTAACAAGTTTTTTGAGGCGCGCTGCGTATAATAGTGTGCACTGGCAACACAGGGCAACTGTAGGTATGTCTTTCTTCCGTATCCCGCTTTCTTAACCCTTCCCTTCACTTCCAGAAAATCATAAAAATCGTAGACTTTATTTGTAACAAATATAATTAAATGCTATAGAAATTCTAGAGACAAGACTTATAAATTCCACATGAAATTGTATTAATACTTATAAATCTCCAAAGAGTTTCCTATTTTGCAAACGATGACAATTTATGCAATTGGTGAATGTACGCGGGAAAGTGCGTGACCAAAAAAAGTTCATGCAATTTTCAACAAAAGATTAAAAAAGTAGTATCAGTTATTCATAAAAAACATGTTATCTATATTATAGAACATGTTATATACAGGGTGTGTCCTAATACCCGTATGTCCCGTAGATGGCAGATAGACCGGGGTAAACTGAATAGAAAAGTCCTATACCATTTTGCAAAATTCGCAATAGTTATCGAGAAATTAATTTTAATGTCTGAGTGAATAAGAGCGTAGAAGGCGGCAGGCCGGACTCGGCAGGCAACGGTGGGGCATCATCTAATAGCGAGAGGTGGAGCGGCGCGCCGAAAAAAGTTGTCAAGCAGCGAGCGGCAAGCTTTTTTGACA